AATGATTGATGATTTTAAAAGAGAGATGATGAAAAAAAATGAAATGAGTGATTTGTGTTTGTTGCATTACTTCTTGGGCATTGAAATTTATCAAAAAGAAGGAGAAGTTTTTATTTGTCAAAAGAAGTATGCAAAAACTCTTCTTGAAAAATTCAAAATGTTGAATTGCAAATCCGTTTGCACTCCCTTGGTTGTGAATGAAAAATTGATGAAAGAAGATGGAAGTAAAGAAGTGGATGCATCTCTCTATAGAAGCTTGGTTGGAAGTCTATTATATTTGACATCTTCAAGACCCGACATCATGTATGCTACAAGCTTATTATCTCGGTTTATGCACAATCCAAGCCAAATTCATGTTGGGTCTGCAAAGAGGGTATTGAGATATATACAAGGTACACTTGATTTTGGCATCTTGTATGAGAAAAATGTTGATGCAAAGTTGTTAGGTTTTTGTGATTGTGATTGGGCCAGATGTGTTGATGATATGAGAAGTACTTCCGGTTATGCATTCTGTCTTGGTTCGGGTGTATTTTCATGGGCATCTAAAAAGCAAGAAATGGTTGCGCAATCTTCTGCTGAGGCTGAGTATATTTCAGCATTATTGGCAGCGTCACAAGCAATATGGCTAAGGAGAATTTTTGAAGATGTTGGTGAGAAGCAAAGAGAAGCTACTCCAATTTTATGTGACAACAAATTCGCAATTGCTATGACAAAGAATCCTATTTTCCATAGTCGCACAAGACACATTGCAATCAAGCATCACTTCATTAGAGAAGCCGTGGAGAATGAAGAGATTCAACTCAAGTATTGTAAGACTGAAGATCAAGTTGCAGACATTTTTACCAAAGCACTTCCAAAAAATAAGTTTGAATACTTTAGAGAATTGTTGGGTATCACAATATGGCATTAAGGGAGGTGTGTTAAAAATAAATTAATGCCATATTCATTATGCATTTTGGGTTTATTCATGTATTGTTATTGTACATGTATCAAGAGGGTACATGTATCAAGTGTGTACATGTATCAAGGGAGTGCATGCATCATATGTGTGGTTGAGAATTGTCTTGAAAAGTTCAAAGGTCTATGGGAGAATGGTATATATAGTGTAAGGGATTTGTTGTTAAGGCATGTCAACACAATAAAAAATTCAATACAATACAATATTTGTTTCTCGCCTCTTTTAACTTAGAAATTATTTAGTTGGTTGAAACTACAGCCACCAGACATCTAGTTTTTATGTCCATTAGGTCTTATCACCTTAACTTTCACAGTGATAAATTTATATTATTTCTATAAAATAGAGCAATCAGTGAGTCGTGGAAGAGGCTCACTGCCTGTTATATATTTATTTGCTTTTGAAGCGAGAAAAAAAGAAGCAAGGAATCAAGATTTATTTTTTTAAGCAAGAAAATAAGGAGAAAGGAAGTAGAACAATCAGTACTCTAAACTTTGTAACTATAAAGTTGTATGATTTATTGTTCATTAGTTTTTTTTTATTATTATTATTTCACTGTTGAATTATAATTTTTATATTATGTCAGATCCCACTCACGAAAAATCCATTTGTTTATTTGTTGTATGTGTTTTGATTCATTATTTTGATTAAATTTGTTTTTAGTAATATTTGTTAAAAATTGTAGATTTTAACATGTAACAATTTTTTTTTTTAAACTTTTTTTTTTTCGGATTAAATGGAGAATGTGAACAACCGGAGAAAAGTGCTAAACAAAACAATATCGACCAGGGGAGATATAAAGATCTCAGGGAGAAAATGGGGATGGCGGTTGCCAAGTGGTATTATTATAACCATATATAATTTAACACTATTGATTCTGCATACACCTAGCCTGTGCTTGATATTGTTGCTGAGTGTGAACCTGGGATGAAAGGTCTCACTCTGTAGGAGCTGGCAGAAAAATATTTAGACCTATAAGGATATAAAGGAGTTGTGTTAACGTTTATAAGCCCAATTTTGAGGAAAGGGAAGTCACAACTATGTGTGATGGGTGGAATGGTACGACTGACAGATACATTAATATCAAGTTTCTTGTTTATTGTAATAAATTTAAATTTTTTCACAAATCATTTGATGCATTTATTACAATCTGCTCAATGATATTATGACTGAGATTGGTGAACGTTACGCGGTAAAAATCGTAACAGATAATGAGTCCATTTTAAAAGCTGTTGGGAAAAGATTATTGGAGAATAGGCATCATTTGTATGCGCAGCCCATGTCATTGATCTCATTCTAGAAGACGATGTTCAAGAAAAAAAGAATTGGTGGTGTCTATAGGCAAGTGCAAATGATAACACATTTTATTTAGAATCATAGGTGGGTTCATAACTACACGAGGGTTTTCATCAATAATAGGGAGCTGCTTCGCCCAAACATCACTCGGTTTTCAACACATTTCCTTACCCTATAGAGTATTGGCAGGCATAAAGATGCCTTGAGGACAATGTTTCAATCGGATGCACTTAAAATTCAAAGTAAGGACTATCATTCATTTATGTTTTTATTATTTTATAAGAAAAATATAGTATTTATTTCTTTGTTACTACTTTACTAGTTACTAATAATATGAGTAATTTCAGGTGGGGAAAGCCAAAAACTAGTGACTCATACGAAGTGAGACATTATCAGTGGTAGTTCATTTTGGGGAAAAAAAAAACCATTGAAATCATGAAATTACAGGAGCCATTTGTGAAAGTTCTTAGATTAGTTTATGGAAATGAGAAACCCACTATGGGTTTTATTTATGAAGCCATGGAATGTGCGAAAAAGCAGATAAAAGAGAATTGTCGATATTGGAAGGAATATTTAAGAATGCTTGAAATTCGATGGACAAGTACCCTTCACCATCACTTACATGCAGCCGGTATTTAAAATTTAAATTTAAATTTTTGTTCCTATTTGTTGCCATGATAATAATTTTACTTTTATTAGGTTATATTCTAAGTCTTCAATATCAGTATAAAGATGAAGTTTGGGACACAATGGAGGGGACAAAAGAGTTATTGAAATATTAGAGCCCAACTTGCAAAGAAGAGTTAAAGCAATGACTCAAGTAAGTGAAAAAAAATTATATAATTTATACTTAAGAATTGCTAGAGAAATAAACAAAATTATAATTTCTTTCAGTTGATTATGTTTCAAGAAAAGGATGAGATGTTCGGCACTCAAACTGCGCAACATGTAATTAATTTCACTTGTCCTGGTAACAATATTCACATCCATTTATCGTTTTAAGTCTTAAATTATTAATCCATCATATAATTATTGTGTTTTCACTTTGTACTTTGCAGCTAAATGGTGGTTGTTATATGGGACTAGTGCTCCAGAACTAAAAAATAATAATTGTGAACGTAATGGAACACATTTAACGTCATCCACACCAATACAAGAAATAGATTGAAGTATAAAAGAATTCAAAAATTGGTTTACTTGCATTATAATTTGAGACTGAAGGTTAGACACATCACCTGTAGCAGTGCAGAGGAGATTGAAAGTAAATATAGTCCTATCGATCTAGACTATATTTTTAAGGAGGATAATCCCCTTAACCCAGTGGCGTAGCCACGTAGGCACAAGTGAGGGCAACTGTTCCCACTAAATTTTTAATTTTTTAATTTTATATGGAAAGATTTTTATATTTGTATAATTGTCCCCACTAAAAGTTAACATTGCACATATATATATATATATATAACCAAATGACCATTCACGGTTGAAAAAAAAAAAAACATAGGAATATAATCTTTCCAAAAAATATGATATTTTTTTTTCCACTTTTTCAAAATATTTTATTCTTTTCCACTTTCTCCAAAAATACAAGATATTCTTCTCACACTTTTGATTTTACCACAAACAAATGCATTGTTAATTTCCATCACATTTTCAATATTTAACATTTCTCTTTTGGTGAGTCTTCAATATTTCAAAAATTCACAAAATCCAAACAAATACTGCAATGTGGAGACAAGTAATTTTAAAATATGAAAAATATTCTCAAATATTTAGTACTGTTTAATTTTTACATATATTATTTTGATTCAAATAATATATATATATATATATATATATATATATATATATATATAATTATAATTAACCCCACGGCGAAAATTTTTGTCTACGTCACTGCCTTAACCCATGGTTACAAGAGAGGGAGGATGCTTGTCTCGACTCTAACAATGATAATCTTTTTCGGATGATTGATGAAGTGGTTGAGCTTCATAATAATTCATCTTCTATAGAGTACTGATGATGATATAGTTGTGTTTTGGTCATTGTGATAATCTAATTGTTGTGTGGGCTAAAAAGGAAATAAGTTCATGAATATGAAAGATTTTGGGTCAAGCATCGTTTTATTGTTGTTTGTTAATTCTGACATTAAGACAGTGTAAATAGGACCCCATGCGCTCATATATTGTTAGAAAAATCCTAGAAATTTTATTTCAAATAGCTAGATTAGTGAGTTCAAAATATTTTTAGGTGTTTGGGAAATTTAATTTTTTATGGTAGCGAATTTTTAACATTTTTTTATTTATTGTATTGATAAGAGTGAATTTTTAAATTTATTCTTGTTAAATTTAAAGAAATAATTCATAATTAGTGTATTTCTTCAATCAAGACAATATTAAAAAAGATAATATTAAAATATTATTAAAAATAATATATTCATTATTAAAATGAAACATGTATTTTGAAACATTTTAAAATAAAAAATAAAAAACAAAAAATTTACGACTGAGGGAGTGATAATAAAAAGTTTTATCATTCCTATGTTAGATTTGATCCAAGAGATAAGTCACCGTGTATTATAATTTATATATAAAATAAAAATAAAAATAAATCTGAGAAATCACATTAAATGCTCAGCCACCATCATTTAACCTATTTTTTAATAGTATTATAAACAACATGTGTCGCATTAATCTGATATGATATGACTCCTCATTGGAGATTACTCATTTGAAGTAAGCAAGCAAGTAAATTATTCATAATATTATTATTTTATAAAATTAATGAAGCAAAAATTAACACATACATAAAAATTAATATGTCAATTTCTACCCAGAAATACTCTTGTTACTCTTGTGTCTACCAAATATACAAATATTTTATAAAATCATGGAATTCGCAAAGTTGTTGACACATGAGCAGCAACATTTTCGGTACCACCTGGAAGTATCTTCAGAACCGCAGGATGCTCTGCAAATATACAGTCATCGTTATGCTACTTACAATGCAAAAATCAGATATTCCAACTCCATTTATTTCTGAAATTTATATTTACTAAAATGGTTTCTATAATTTGAAAACTCATCAATATTCTTGGTCCATAGAAAAAGGTTTTTTTTTTTTTTTAATTTTCTTGTAATAGAATTTTTCGTGTCAAGTTCCCAAAGAAACTCAAATCTAATACTTGTAAATTGCAATTATGAAAATAATTATAAGAAGTGTTTATAATTTTCCCAAACATTTAGGCTTCTTATGAAACATAATTATCATACCTATTAAACATAATTATCAAACCTATTAAACCAAAAATAATATCAAAGTTAATGATATTTTTGTTTTTCTAGTTTGTTTTAATCTGACTAAAAAAAACTAGAAAAGTTAGAATTACATTTGAAACTTCTTAGGATCCTCATAAAGAATTTCGATTTCTGTATATATAAAACGGCACTGACAGACTGTATGTGCTCAACAATGAATTATGAATGCTCTTAAAGATTCGATACCAACAACATCGAAAATCATATATTTTCAAAAAAAAAAAAAAAAAAAAAAAATTATGCATAGAAAAGAACTTACTTAGAAGAGCATTAATCTGGTCAGCTGTGAGCTTGACAGCAAATCCGTTGATGGTTCTTGTGTACTCATAAATAATGGCTTTCTTGGCCGCCATTTCACTGCATCAATTCCAACCGTAGACCAAAAAATATTTAATTTGTATTCTTTTTATCACAGTTTAGAAACTAGATGAAGGAAAAGCTTAACTAAATCTTAGAAGTTCCTAGTGGGTTAAAACTTAAAACCAAAAACATTATAATGTTGCATTTAGTAGCATAGAATCTGCATGAACCATTTTGTTTGAACCAAGTCACATGATGTATAAACCATTTTGTTTCCTAATTACTTTAGAGTTGTTTGATAATTAAATTTAGTAATTAATTTTGAATAAAGAATTGATTTGTTTAGGAACACTTAATCGACACATTAAAATTGGAATTGAAAAAAATTTAATTCAAACTTTAAATTATTTTTTTCACATTCCATTTCCAAAGTGGTGACAACAACTAGACTTTTTTGCCACCAAAATTTTAGTGGCTAAAATCCCATTATTTGTCGTAAAAATTATTCACCACAAAAATAATTTTGTGGAGATGTCATGTCCATAAGTCTGCGAAGAATTGTTTTTAAGCGCAAAAAAGGGTTTCGTTGCCAATATTGGTCAAGAATTTTTTTTCATGGCGGAAAACCACCTTTTATGACAATTATTCTGTGGAAAGAGTCCTACTTTTGGCACAAAAAATTATTTTACAACAAACATAACTTATGTGTATTTGATTAAGTGTCCTTGATAGTGGAAATTAGATAGCAACTTAAAGGATAAAGAGCAAAAAAAAACCTTTAAACTATGTTTGAATTTACAAATAATTCTCATGAACTATATTTTATGCATAATATCCCTTGAACTATCACATTTTGTTACAAAATGTACCAATGCCTAAACTATATTTCATTAAAGGACCATAATACCTTTTTTTATTATTGAATTACACTTAATCTATTTTTTTATTGAAATAAATTATGAAAAAAATTCATACTAATTTGATGACATATTCTTCATTAAATTTGAATAAAATTATCGTTAATTTTTTAAATAAAAATCTTAAGTAGAAAATTTTAAAATAATTTAATTGATTTCTTAATTTTTCATGAATATATTATATGAAAATAAGGTTTTTTTTCATTTAAGTAATTTATTAATTTTTCATCATTATATTGTATGAAAAAGAAGGTACGGAGTATTTTTTTACAGTAAAAATGATTAAATTGGGTATAATAAGTTTATTATAAATAATAAAATTTTAATAATAAGTTAATCATTTTAGAAAATGGAAGTTACAAATTATTTTTAAAATTTTTATGATAAATTGATGCTAAAAATAAAATAAAATTAATATTTAGATAAGAGAAAAGATAATAAAAATATAATAAAAAATGACAAATTTAATAAGAAAGGGTAAAATAGTCTTTTACGATGAGTTTGTCCTCAATTGTTACAAATTAATAGTTCATGGGGTAGTTTTTAGTTAGGGGGTGGGGTGGTTTAGCACTTTACCCCAATACAAATAATAAAGACAATAGTACTTTATCACACCGAACACTAAAAATTCAAAGGAAAAAAATTCTAAATTTATAATTAGCCTTTAAAATTCAACTATTAAAATTTTCTATTTTATCAAACAATACTTTAGTCATTTTAAGTTTTGCTTAAAAAAAAAGAACAATGTGTTAAAATCATCAATAACTTATATAAATACTATTTTTTTCAAATGATTCCATCAAAAATTAAAAATTGGCAATTTTATTTAGTCAAATCATGTCAAAGATAGAGAAAATAAAAGTTTGATTAAAACTTTAACATATTGAAAATGAATTTTGGTATGAAAATTTTCAATTACAATAATAATCTTTTAAACCATACTAAGTGATCATCTTATTATATTCATGAAATCTTTTCTTTTTTACTCTGATCATGCACAAATATAAATATAAAATAGATATTGAATATGTGCACATTTGATGTACCTACCTTCCGAGAACTGAAGCAAGTGCTTGGATGTGACTGGCTGATGAGGTTTTGGATTTGGCCATGTAAACGATTTGAACAGAGGCCTCGTCCACTTCACACTGAAAAATGAAATCAAAAAATTAGACATTGGATTAGCAAACTGGTATATACAAATTAATTTTAAATTAAATGCAGCCAATTTGAATTTACTGTACCATATTATATATGTGTGTATATATATATATATATATATATATATAGATATATATCAGAAACTATACATTATAAATAGAGAATTGAAGGTTTATGACTGAACTTTGGAGCTTGCGGCTAATAATGTGAAAATCACAAGGAAGATGACTCGGTAGTACCCAAAAAGAGGAGCCATGAGAGTGTGTGTTTTTGTGTGTGTGAGAGTGAGTGAGTGTGTGATTACTAAAACTGCAAATGTATTAGTCTATATATAGGAAATTTTGGCACACCATGTAAGAGTTAGTGATATTGCCAAATATGAATCGGATCGATGCCTGATGGGACCCACTTGGTGAAAAACCACGTCGATATCCTACTCATGCTGTGCATAGTGGATCATGCATTTTTTTTCTGTTTTTTTTTTCGGAAGTTAGTGGATCATGCATTTGCTAGCACTCTAGCATGCCATGTAATTGTGGTTGTCTTGGTCATCGCCACTAATTGGTGCAATTATAGTTTGGACATTATTCATGTCTTCCATCAAACTTCGAGTGACTCAAACCCACTAAATGAATATGGAGACAATGTTTTATAGATGGAATTTTGGGAACCAAATTAAACTTTTGGAGCACCCTTTCAACTAATTTTTTATTTTTTTAATTTTAATTTCAAGATTTTATTCAATACTTTCAAAAATCACATTTCAACTTCATCGCATTTATTTTAAAATTTTATCACATTCAATATTGAATTTCACCATTATAATGGTGAAATTTTACTAATTTTTACTTACCAATCAAAGTAATGGAATTCACCATTTAAAGCGGTGAATTTCAAATTGGTGACGTTCATGGTGATAAAATATTAAAATTCACCATTAAAAGTGGTGAAATTTTAAAATAAATATATAAGAAATTATTATATGATTCCTGACTATGAGAAAAAATTTATTGCGTCTGTTGCACCATGTAACATGTGCATTTGGACTATTCGTTTAACACACATGTCCATGCATGTATTACACACGGCGATAATGAACGGTTAGATGTGCCCGTTGCAAAGTGTAACGGGCACAAAGAAGTTTTTCTTCTTGACCATATAATACAGTCCAATCAAAATTCTTCAATTAAAAAATAGACTTCCAAAATTTAATAATATATTATAAAGAAACTTCAATATGAGTTTTGATTGAATTCAACTATAAGGTAACTTATGATTTACAACTATCTAATAATTTTTTTATACAATGAAATTGCACATAGTATTAAAAAAAATGCTAAAAAAAAAAAAAAAAAAAAAAAATTACAGGAGACGATTTTGATTCTATGTTACCGGCTGAAACAGACTACATTCAAGGCTAGTTTAATAATAAACAATAGGGTAATTTACATTCACATTCTTTAATGTTTGTCCTATTGACAATCATATATAAGTTAGTCTATTTTTTAACAATGATACTTCATATCAGAAATTGCAGCCAAGTAGTCCTTTAAAAATTACGAAAAAATGATATTGCCCTTCAATATTTAATTAATTTTAATTGTAAAATATCATAACTTTGAAAAAACACGTTTGCCCTTTGATTAGTCATTTATACAAGATATAAGGAATTTAAGGATCCCACTCCCTTAAATAATTGTTATTGTAAATAGCTTGAATTTTAAATAATTGTTGGGAATTTTCTTTAATTAGGGTGAGCTAACCCTAATTTGTTCAAATTTCTAATCTGAACATTGATTTGTTAATAAATCAGTGTTAATATTCTGAACACTAATTATTTTTTATTAAGTCTTAATAATCTGAACATTGATTTGTTAATTAAATGAGTTATTTATTTATAATTTGAACACAAATATTTTAATTAAATCAGTGTTCTCAACACTGAGTTTTTAGTACCAACAAAACAAGGGTTTATTAATAATAGTATTAATTTATTAACTGATTTGTAATACTCTGTACTTATCTATTAATAATACTAATTTTTTAGTACCAAAAAATCAGTGGTTTATTAATAACCGTGTTAATTTGTTAACTGATTTTTAGTACTTATTTGTCAATTAACACTGTTAATTAAATATTGTTAATTAATTTTAATTTGCAAAAATTAATATTTAATGTGATGACTCTGTAGGCGGGTGTGTTGTGGGCGGGTGCGAGACACTGACAGGTTATCACACTGGGCGAATTACGGGTGCACAATCCCACATCGCCTGAGAAATGGAAAGGTGAAGTACTTATATGTAGGTGTGTCACTCCAATTGATATGAGGCCTTTAGGGTGAAACCCAAGAGCAAAACTGTGCGGGGCACAGGCTCAAAATGGACAATATCATATCATGTGGTGCAGTGACTCATTACAAATGGTATCAGAGCTTAACCCAACTGGAAGTGTGCCGACGGTAAGAATAGCTAGGATTTCCAGAAGAAGATGACATTCGTTTGATGAGAAATAAAAAGGAATATCGAAAATTCGAGTGGCTAAAGCTGAAGCAGCTATTTTCCGGGCCTCCAAGGGGGGTAGATTGTGATGACCCTGTGGTCCAAGGGGGGTAGATTGTGATGACCCTGTGGGCGGGTGTGAGACACTGGCAGACTACCACACTAGGTGAGCTTTAAGTGCACAGTCCCACATTGCTTAAGAAAGGGAAAGGTGAAGTGTTTATATGTAGGTGTGTCACTCCAATTGGTATAAGGCCTTTTGGGGTAAAGCCCAAAAACAAAACCGTGCGGGATCATCATAATACACCCCCCTTGGAAGCCTGACATCCCCGTCGGCACACTTCTGGCTGGGTCAGGCTTTGATACCATTTGTAACGACCCGCTCCACCACATGGTATGATATTGTTCGTTTTGGGCCTGAGTCCGTATGGTTTTGATCTTGGGCTTTACCCCAAAAGGCCTCATACCAATTGGAGATGACATACTTACATATAAGCACTTCACCTTTCCTTTACCCAAGCGATGTGGGATTGTGCACCCGTAACTCGTCAGTGTGGTAGCCTGACGGTGTTTTGCATCCGCCCACGGCACACCCGCCCAAAGGGTCCTGTCAGTGTCTCTTGCACCCACCCACGGCACACCCGCCTATAAGGTTATCACAATCTACCCCCCCTTGGAGGTCCGACGTCCCCGTCAGCACACTTCCTGTTGGGTTAGGCTCTGATACCATTTGTAACGACCCACTCCATCACATAGTATGATATTGTCTGTTTTGGCCTGAGCCCACACAGTTTTGCTCTTGAACTTTACCCTAAAAGGCCTCATACCAATTAGAGACGACACACTTACATATAAGCACTTTACCTTTACTTTACCCAGGCGATGTGGGACTGTGTACCCGTAACACGCCAGTGTGGTAGCCTAATGGTGTCTCGCACCCGCCCACGGCACACCCACCCAAAGGGTCATTACACGGAGCTCAGGCCCAAAGCGGATAATATCATACTATATGGTGGAGTGGGTCTTTACATGTAATCTTTGCTAGTTTTTATATGTTGCATTACAGTTCTTTTGAGGGCAATTTCATCACTTAACAATCAATACACAAATCAAAGGGTATTAAGGTCAATTTACCTTGTGTTAGAAGACTAATATGGTAGCAGGAGTGTCATTGTTAGCTTTAACAAACTTGAGGGTGAGTCATTATTAAAAAAATGACTAACTTGTTTATGACTATCAATAGAACAAATTTTAGGGGGTGTCAGTATAATTTACCTTAAACAATACACTTATAAGGCACAAACTTTGTTAGAGAGAAATGAAAAAAGAAAAATAAAAAAGTTCTAAGCATGGTATAAAATTTTGGAGTAAAAAGAAAGAAAATAGAGGAATTTTGAGTGATACAAACCAGACATGATTTAAGTCACATAATTATTCTAAATCGATGCTGCTCTCACGTTTTACGCACTCTGTTGATCTGATTCTCATTCGGTGTGACTTAAATTCTGCCTTTTCACGTTCTACTCCACATTTATGTGACTTAGAGCACGATGATTTGGTTAGATTATCTCTAAAAACAGGAGCAAAGGGTTTCAAAATTTAATGAAACTTTTCTAATACTGATTTTGTCCTTATATTAAAAAAAAAAAAAAAAAAAATGAAGAAGAAGAAAAAATTCAAATACCATAGCATAGTGAGAAATTCATTAAAGATTTAAGTCATTTTCTTTCTTTTCCATTAATCAATCAAACAAAGATAACACTCTCATTTTGTCCTTTTTGTTATGTCATCCATGACATCACCATGTAAAGCTTACAGAGGAAGATTTCAATTGTGGCTTCTTTGAGAAGCCAATTACAGTGCCTATATATATGGGCATTCATGTATACAGCGTGGTGGTGTTGGAATAAAATAAAAATTCCATTCTCTCTCTCTTTGATTTTCTCTCTCTCCATCTCTTTATATATATATATATATTCACACACACATATTTATTATACGTTATCAGCACGAGCTATCCATCTGAGATTTGAAGAAGAAAGCTTTCTCTCCCTTTTTCTATCCCAACTATATATCTATTTTGTGATATTAGTTTTGATAGATTATTGGGTTGGTTTGCTTTATCGAAGAAAATAACATTTCTGACTCCAAAGGGTAAGGAAATTTTAATTATGGATTATTGTTAGTAAAATAAAGTTGTTCACTTAAATGATATATATGCATACACTATGGTCGGTTCTACCACCTTTTTTTTTTATTCAATAATTTACTAATTATGGTCGGTCTTACCACCTTTATTATTTAATATTTTATGGCTGGTTTTACCGCCTTTATTGTTTAATAATTTATTTATAATGACCGGATTAACCATTATTGTTGTTTAAATAATTTATATTATGTTATTATTTTATTTTAATTCCATTTTATTTATATGCTAAATTATTTTTTTATATTATTGTCACATCTAGTTATTCTGAAAATGTCAAATTTGACAAAGCTGAAAATGGATATTTCTGGCAAAAATTATTTATCTTGGATTCTAGATGCTCAGATCCATTTGGATGTCATGGGCCTTGGTGACACAATTAAAGAAGACAATGAGGCATCATTGCAAGATAAAGCAAAGGCCATGATTTTTCTTCGGTGCCATATTAGTGAGGAAATGAAAACTGAATACCTAACTGAAAGAGATCCACTTTGTTTGTGGAATAATTTGAAAGAAAGATATGATCATCAAAAAACAATCATCCTCCCAAAGGCCAGGGCTGATTGGCTGCAACTGAGGTTGCAAGATTTTAAAACTGTGGCTGAATATAACTCTGCTCTATTCAAAATCAGCTCTACATTGAAATTATGTGGTGATACTGTTACTGATGAACTTTTGCTAGAAAAAACATTCACCACATTTCACGCCTCGAATGTACTCTTGCAACAATAATATCGAGAGCGTAGATTTAAAAAATATTCAGAGCTGATATCATGTTTGCTTGTGGCAGAGCAAAATAATGAGCTTTTGTTAAGAAACTACCAGTCTCGTCCAACTGGATCGACACCGATTCCTAAAACATATGTTACCTCATCCCGTGGTCGTAGACGTGGTCGTGGTGGTAGAAATGAATATGGTCGTGGTAAAAATAACTACCACAATAATGAATATGGTCGTGGTAGAAATCATTCTTATTATCGTGAATGATATCAATCCTCACATTTTCGCAATCAGAGATCCACACCATATCCTCAAAGGAAAGATTATAATGAAATGAGATAAGTAAAAGGGAAGGATGTGGCTCAACCTTCCAAGCCTTATGATAATACTTGTTATTGGTGTGACATGACAGGGCATTGGCAAAGTATTTGTCGTACACCGAAGCATCTGGCTGATCTTTACCAAGCCTCAATGAAAGAAAAGGGAAAACAAAAGGAAATAAATTTCTTTGATCATGATGAGCCAATTGACACCACAAATCTGGAAATGAATTTCATTAATCATGATGAGCCAGTTAACATCACCAATCTGGATGTATCAGATTTTTTTTATGATCGTGATGGAAGGATAGACTTCCTGATTGGTGATGGAAATGTCCACACCAGTTAATCTTATGTTTTTTTTTTCATGTTCTGTCTACTATGTTTCTATTTTTCTTGTATTGAAGTTTTTATTTTCTAGTTTGTATCAAAGTTTCCTTTGTTATAAAAGTTTCTTTTCTGATAAAGAAATTTGCATGAATAGGAATTGATCTGACTAATCCCAAAATAAATGGTGAAGATATATGTTTTGTAGATAGTGAAACAACACATACAATCCTTCGAGATCAAAATTTTTTTTCTCATCTAACTCTGACATATGCCAGTGTCAGTACCATATCAGGTCCCACCGACTTGATTGAAGGCTCCAAACGAGCCAACATCATTTTACCACATGGAACAAGATTACAAATCGATGATGCCTTATATTCTACAAGATCTCGGAGAAATCTGTTGAGTTTTAAAGATTTGCGTTGTAATAGGTATCATATTGAGACCACAAATGAAAGAAATGTGGAATATCTCTACATTACTTCCATTACCTCAGGCAAAATATTGATATTAGAAAAAATCTTTGTTTTCTCTTCTGGGTTATACTATACAACCATTAGAACAATTGAGTCAAATGTTATGATCCATAAAAAATCTTGTGACCTAAAACTTTTTATGCTTTGGCATGGTCGACTTGGTCACCCAGGGAGTACAATGATGCGTCGAATTATTAAAAATTCACATGGTCACCTACTAAAGGATCACAAAATCATCTTACCAAATAATCATCTATGCATCGCCTGCTCACAAGGTAAGTTGATTATCAGATTATCCCCTTCAAAAGTCATTGTTGAGTCTCCTCTATTTTTACAACGAATTCATAGGGATATATGTGGGCCAATTCATCCACCCTCTGGACCATTTCGTTATTTTATGGTCTTAATTGATGCATCAACACGATGGTCACATGTTTGTCTACTTTCTACTCGTAATGTTGCATTTGCTAAACTTCTTGCTTAAATCATCAAATTACGGGCACACTTTCCTGATTACCAAATTAAGACAATCTGTCTTGATAATGCTGCTGAATTTTCTTCTCAAGCTTTTGATGATTATTGCATGTCAGTTGGAATTAATGTTGAACATCCTGTTGCACACACTCATACTCAAAATGGTATGGCTGAATCTTTTATTAAAAGACTTCAGCTAATTGGTCGTCCTTTGCTTATGCGAACAAAATTGCCTGTTTCTACCTGGGGTCATGCGATATTGCATGCTGCATCATTAGTTCGTATACGATCAACTGTTTATCATAAGTACTCACCATTGCAACTTGTTTTTGGTCAACAACCAAATATTTCCCACATACGAGTTTTTGGTTGTCCTGTATATGTTCCAATTGCACCACTCCAACTCACTAAAATGGGTCATCAACGTAGACTTGGAATTTATGTTGGTTTTGATTCTCCATCTATTATTAGATATCTTGAACCCCTGACATGTGATGTCTTTAAAGCACGATTTGCTGATTGTCATTTTGATGAGACTGTTTTCCCACCATTAGGGGGAGAAAAGGCATAGCAGCAACGTGATCTTACTTGGATTGCCCTGCAATTGTCTCATTTTGATCCTCGTACAAACCAATGTGAACGAGAAGTTCAAAGGATCATTCACTTGCAAAATGTTGCAAATCAATTACCTGATGCATTTATTGATACAAAGAAAGTGATAAAATCACATATACCAGCTGCAAATGTGCCAGTACGAATTGCTGTCCCTGAGGGACCTTCTGTCAGTAATGCAGCAAATGCATATAAAACACACCTGAAGCGTGGTAGACCAGTCGGTGCAAAAGATATTGTTCCTCGTAAGAGGAAATCACAAAGAAAAGTTGGCACTCCTGAAGAGGCCACAAAAAGAGTAATAGATATTATTGATCAATCTGAGATAATAGCTTTTGATAAAGTAGAGGCTCTTGATAAGTCTCAAGTATCTAAAAATGATGAAATCATAAATATTGATGAGGCAAAAGCAACAAATGATGATATGGCCCTTGATGAGGCACATGCCCTTGATGAGGCAAAGGTACCTGAAAATGATGAGATCTCATTAAATTATGAAACGAGATGGAATAGAAATGAAATTGTTGTCGACAACATATTCTCATATCTCATTGCTCTTAATATTGAAAATGAGGATCCGGAACCTCAAAACGTCGAAAAATATCGACGAAGAAATGATTGGCCAAAATGGAAAGAAGCGATACAAGCAGAGCTAAATTCATTAGCTCAACGTGAAGTATTTGGACCAGTAGTCCAAACACCTGAGGGTGTTAATCTTGTTGGGTACAAATGGGTGTTTGTACGAAAGCGAAAAGAGAAAAATGAAATCGTGAGGTACAAAGCCCGACTTGTAGCTCAAAGTTTTTCACAAAGACCTGGTATTGATTATGAGGAAACATACTCCTCTGTGATTGATGCAACTACTTTTAGATTCATAATACACTTGGCAGTCACAGAAAGATTGCATATGCATCTAATGGACGTGGTTATAACATATTTATATGGATCACTAGATAATGATATTTATATGAAAATCCCAGAAGGATTTAAAATGCTTGAACAAAACCACGTAATATGCACTCAATAAAATTACAACGATCCTTATATGGATTGAAGCAATCTGGACGAATGTGGTATAATCGCCTTAACGATTACTTACTCAAATAAGGGTATGTGAACAGTCATATTTGTCCATGCATTTTTATTAACAAATCAGAATCTGGTTTTGTTATTGTTGCAGTATATGTTGATGATCTGAACCTTGTGGGAACATTGGACGAGATTGAAAAGACGACCAATTATTTAAAGAAAGAATTTGAAATGAAAGATCTCGGAAAAACAAAATTCTGCCTTAGGCTGCAAATTGAACATTTTTCGAACGGTATTCTCATCCATCAATCAACATATACAGAAAAGATTCTGAAACGTTTTCATATGGATAAAGCCTATCCATTGAGCTCCCCAATGGTTGTCCGATCACTTGACATCAAGAAAGATCCTTTTCATCCTCGAGAAGATGATGAAGAACTCATTGGTCCTGAAGTGCCCTATCTCAGTGCGATTGGTGCTCTTTTGTATCTTGCAAATTGCACAAGACTTGATATAATTTTTCCAGTCAATTTATTAGCACGGTATAGTTCTGCACCAACTTGCAGACATTGGAATGGAATTAAACACATACTGCGATATCTTCGTGGCATAACTGATATGGGCTTGTTTTATTCGAAGGCACCAAAGTCTCCATTAGTTGGATATGCAAATGCGGGCTATCTTTCTGACCCACATAAAGTTTATTCACAAACAGGATATGTGTTTACCTGTGGCGGCACTACTATATCATGGCAATCAATGAAACAAACAATGATTGCAACTTCTTCAAATCATTCTGAGATACTCGCAATTCATGAGGCAAACAGGGAATACTTTTGGTTGAGATCAATGATCCAACATATTTGAACAACATGTGGTCTCTCATCAATAAAAGAAAGCCCAACAGTATTATATGAAGATAATGTGGCATGCATTGCACAGATGAAAGAAAGGTATATTAAAAGTGACAGGACAAAGCACATCTCACCAAAATTCTTTTTATGCACATGAACTCCAGAAAAAGGGTGATATTGATATTTAGAAGATACGTTCATGTGAAAATCTAGCAGATCTATTCACTAAAACGCTTCCAACTACAACATTCAAGAAGTTGGTGCACAACATTGGAATGCGTCAAGTAAAGGATCTTCATGGTTGATCTAATGAGGGGGAGCAATTGATTAAAGAAGTGTTGACATGCTGTACTCTTTTTCCTTCGTCCAGGTTTTGTCCCACTGGGTTTTCCTGGCAAGGTTTTAATGAGGCAGTTTTACTCTATGCAATACCTTTTTCAGATACATAAGAATACTATACTCTTTTTTCTTCGTTAGGGTTTTGTCCCATTAGATTTTCCTTAACAAGGTTTTAACGAGGCATATTCTTAATGTAATATTGTGGACCCAAGGGGAGTGTTATGTATAATGTAATATTGTGGGCCCATAATAAATGTATGTCATCTATGACATCACCATGTAAAGCTTACAGAAGAAGATTTCAATTGTGGCTTCTTTGAGAAGCCAATTACAGCGCCTATATATATGGGCATTCATGTATACAACGTGGTGGTGTTGGAATAAAACAAAAATTCCATTCTCTCTCTCTTTGATTATCTCTCTCTCCATCTCTTTATATATATATATATATTCACACACACATATTTATTATACTTTTTACTTTTTCCTCTCATTAGTCATGACCAATTTTTCAAGGTAGTGGGCCGAGCGGAGCTCCATTTATGCAATAGGGTTGGATTTACCATAAAAACCTAATCGTGTTCGGTGCGGGTAAGGTTTAAGGCAACCCGGACCATACCCACCCCATTTCCAAATTGGGCAGTTTATCCAAATAAAGCACACTATTTAACACAGTTTCGAGACGATATCAGATAAAGTTTTTCATATCTGTTACTTTGGCGGCAAAGCACTGTAGCACCAACAAGAGCGAAGAAAAGAAGAAAAAGTGTAACAGTAACAGAAGAGAGAGAGATAGCAACCTGAAGAGAGAGAAAGTAATTGCTTCAGGTTTGTACAATATACTAAAGTATCTGTTTCTTTTCTCACACAAAAAGCACACAATGTGTTTGTAATAATGCCTATTAGAGAATTTGTCTTACATGTTATGTTTTAATTATATTATGTTGCGAGAAAGACGGTATGCTTGGACTGGGGTGGTCGTGTTGTAGCAACATTTTCCCTGCAAGCTCTCATCTTCTTATGACGACTGATGTCTCTAAGACATTGAAGAGCCCCAAACTTCCTCATTTGGTATATTCTGGTCCTAATATTATTCCTTGTTCCAATTATGATTAAATTTTATTATTTATCTTAGTTAAAATGTATTTGATTGAGCCCCAAAAATGAGAAATTTCAAGCCTTGAATGTTGAAAGCAAGTCATTTGGTCATACTGAATAACTGGTTGGATGGATTATGGTTCATCAATGTGCTGAGGATTGTCTTGACAAAGTGATCGTGTTTGAAAATGGGGTAAAAAAGGGTAGGTTATTAGGACCGTATTATATGTTATTGTATGGTTATATTATGAGACTCAGTGATTTCCCTCTGTGGGTGGTTCCAGTGAAGGACTTACAAGATTTCCATAGAAATGAAACTGATTTTTTTTTTTTTTTTAATCAGAAAGCACAGATTTGACTAGAGGGGTTTGTTGTTCGTGGAGTTTTATGTTATGAACAAACTAAATCCTACTACTTCTGAAGCGTAACATTTGGCAATTCAAGATATTACCTCCAGTGGCCGAAAAATTGAATAGTAGTCATAGGATATACTTGGTGTCTATGAAAAGATTGAATATTGCCAAACTGCTATTTATGATCTTAAAAGAGTTTGAGCAAACAGTGGTTCATTATTTCTGACGGATTCCTATGGCTACTTTCATAAAATATGTATTAATGAAAACATGCCCAATGATACATGCTGTTTAGATAGTTCATTTAAGGTTGTTTTTAGTTGAATTGATTATGTTTCTGGAATTGCTATTGTCTGTAACTATCTTGATGCGAGTAACTGTTTAAAATTTCAGTATGTTTACCATAATTTAAATCTCCTCGATAGGATTTATCATGCAATGCATGCCTGACAGTCTTTTCTCTCCAGTGCCAGCGGCAGAATAGAGAGTTGCATGGGTCCCGAAGAATGTCAAAAGTTTTTGCTTACTACGGCCTGAAAACCCCGCCTTATAAACTTGTAAGTGAATTTGCTTTTTCCTTTACTTTTTATAGTTAAAGGTCATTACTTGGTACAGTGGTAAGATCTTGGTTTGCCAAGCATTGAAATTTGGGTTTGAGTGTGTGAGCAACCACTTCTAGATAAATAATGCCAAAGGTAAGGTCTGTGTCTTGTCCCCTCACAACACCCTAAAATAACAAGGTCCAACAGTAGGTAATGGCCTTTCAACTTTAACCATTGTAATTATAAAATGAGATGGGAGAAAGAAAAGAATAGGAAAAGTAAAGAAAGAGACTGGTCCATAGTGATGGGATGATTGCTTGTCTTCTTGCTTAATATATACCCTTTGTAACTTGGCATGTTATTCAGTTAGTTGGGTGGTATTCAATTTAAATGAAGTCCATCAAATTTTCCTTCTTCTTAAAATACAAAACTCTGAAGGATTTGGGCCACTTCTACTTGATTTCAGCAAATGTTTGTATGGCCTGATCAATAATTAATGAAATCACTATTCTCCCTTTTATCTGTAAAATTGCTCTAATAGCAGGATAATTTTCACTAGTTATTATGAAACACTATTCTGTGTGTTATTGTTTTGATTATTTTACGAATTTTTTTTCAAAAGGTCATTTGTTTGAAAAGGCCTATTTGTTATTGTTGACAATGTCTACAATTAAAATTACCAAAAATTTCTCTCTCTCTCTCTCTCTCAAACTGGGACTGCTTTTAAACCTAATATTTAGATAGATGCTCAACTATATTTTATGAATTGACTTTTCCTGTAAACTTTATGCAATGTAGGTTCTGACCAAGAATTAAAAGCCTTCCACCTAGAAAAACCTCTATGTCAGATTTGGCCTGGTTAGATGGTCACGGATCTTGTGGCCTTGCATTGTGAAAATGAAAAATGACACCAAAAAGATATGGGTATAAACATTTATGAATGCAAGGACTCATATATGTTTGCTGGTCCCAGCTGGCCCCTGACTTTTGTCTCGAGTGGTCTTCAAATAAGATCTGATTATATCATCAATCTGGCTATTCATCCTTTTCTTTCTTCTTCTTCTTCTTCCTCTCCCTTCTTCTTCTTTTCTTCTTTGTGTGTGTGCACGCGCGCGTGTGTATCACTTTCTAAATCTAAATTAACATGTAGAAAATAGAAAGGGTAGCTGAAAACTTGTTGAGATTTGAGGAAAGAGCTACATTCATCTTATTATAATATTGGTTGACACATATTTTGAAAGAAATTTTGGAAAATTTGGATTGGGATTGGGATGCCATAACACGTTCACTGACCTTATGTTCTGCACCTTGTGCGCTTCAATTATACTTTCCAATGTGATAGAATGGAGCATCTCATAAAATTTCTACTGCTTATGTTCTGCACATTGTGTGCTTCAGTTATACTTTCCCATGCGATAGAATGGAGCTTCTCATGAAATTACTACTGCTTTAATGCTTTCCTCATTGGTTTCTTTCTTTCTTCTTCTTCTTTCTTTTTTATTATTTATTTTGGTGGCATTTTTAGGATGCTTTAGAACCATACATGAGTCAGCGTACGCTTGAAGTGCACTGGGGAGAGCATCATCGTGGTTATGTGGAAGGTCTGAATAAACAACTTGGAAAGAATGACATACTTTATGGCTACACCTTGGATGAACTTGTCAAGGTGACGTATAACAATGGGAATCCATCACCCGAATTTAACAATGCTGCCCAGGTATGTTTGGGTTGATTCCCCTTCCCCCCTTCCGGAAAAAAGAAAAGAAAAAAGAAAAAAAAAATAAAAAATAAAAAATGGCTGGGGAAACCAGTGATAGTTCATGCAAATCATACATTGAAGACTTCGTTAGTCTGATTTTCATTGTGTTTCAATAATTCATAGTGACCTTCGTGTCCAAGGTCACCCTTCTTACCTTAGTTTTCTTATCTCCCAATTGCCCTGGTGCCAAAATATTTCTATTTGTATATTGGCCTCAGTTCCAAGCTCTGTTATTTACAAATTGGTACCGCTGTTGCATGATTACCTGTGTCTGGCCCAACAGTTGATTCATACATGTTGCATTTTTGAGGCTTATGAGGTTTAAAGTCCTGATGCATTTTTGGCTATTCCACTATCACAACTGTCTTCAAGCTGCAATGAATACCATTCTGAACCAGAAAGTTTTATGAACATGATGCATGACTCGATATAACAAAGAAACATAGAAAAATATTTAAATCTCTCTCAAGCATCTGTCGAAACAATATTCAATGATCATTTTTTCATCAGCCCTCAGTCGTTTCTGATAGATGCAAGAACGTGTCCGACCCTTATCCTGTGTCCGTATGCATATTGTGTCATGTTGACACGAACACCTTGGACTAAAATGATGAGTCCAGGTAACATAGGAAAAAAGACTAATTCGAGTCTAGTGGAGACCACTTTGTAATATCAAAGGGTTTTATCTGCATGCAATTTACCCCTCCCAACTCCCTTAATTAACAATGACCATACCGGGTAACTACATTTTGTTGACTTGGAAGCTGATGTATATCTATTTTTGAGCAATGCAATGAGATCCTGCAATTTGATCTCATTCCATCTTTTTTGCCTTCCAATAGTTATTTTGCATTTTTTTTTGTAAGTAATAGTTGACTGGCATATATTACTATCTTTTGTTCTTTGTTTTCTTCTCCACATTGGAGAGCTCCTCCCAAGTCCTACCTAAGTAGTCAAGATCAGTGCTCCATTGGGTATGAAAAATTGGAAGGAAGGTATGAGGGAAAAGGAAGAAACCTTACCCTCTTGTTTGTTGGTTGATTGGGAAGGAAACATGGAAGGATGAGAAGGGATATTGCATGATTTGGCTATTAAAGTCTTCCATTGTTGGATCGAGAGGGGGGTGCTTTCTTTTGAAGAATACGAATATTATAAGAAAATGGAGGGAATATTCTTTCTTCCCTTCCTCCCACTTTTGAGAGAAGGGATATTGTGGTTCTAAAGGGAAGGAGCTTCACTCCCTTTGTTTCCCTCCCTACTAAAGAAAGCCTAAAGCTTATTTGATTGAGTTAAGTTGAGTTGAGGTGATCTCTTGTCAAGTTTTTGCATATAATTCCCTTTTACTATATTATTATTATTTAGTTTAACACAGATGAAGTTCTTTCTAAGAAATTTTTTCCGTTTCATCTGTTGTAGAATAATCGTTTTTGAATCTGAACCTGGTTTGATAACTTTTTCATGTGAACTCATTTCCAACATTTTCAGGTTTGGAATCATGACTTCTTTTGGGAATCCATGCAACCAGGGGGTGGTAACATGCCCATTTTGGGTCTTCTTACGCAGATTGAAAAGGATTTTGGTTCTTTTACTAATTTCAGAGAGAAGTTCATTGAAGCAGCTCTCACATTATTCGGTTCTGGCTGGGTTTGGCTTGTATGTAAGTCTTTCTCAAGCAAGTTAGCTTCCTTGTTTGAGTCCTTCAAATTAAGAGAAAAATATTTATCCATTTTTTGGAATTTCAAGCAAACACACACACCCATTATCCACAATATTACCCTAGTGGGACTCGAACTCTCAACCTCTCCAGGAGGAGAGATCATACCATTGGGGTAGAGGCCCTTTGGTAAAAATATCTTTTCTTGGATGCCCACCTTATGTATATATATTGGGATTGTGTAATATGCTAAAGTTAAATCTGCATTTGGATGTACTACTAGTAGCAGTAGGAGTAAGGCAGTAGCTGTAGCAGTAACAATAGGAGATGATGTTTTAAGTGCCCCTTTCCTTCTTCCTTTACCATTTATTTTATTTTATGTTATTACTTTTGTTTCTGTTATCCAATTGTTCTAATTTTGATTTACTTATTAAGGAAATCTATGATATAATCACCAATGATCATGAGAAAGGACAAAAATGGTAGTGGTATGGTTGACACACATCAATTTATATTTATATTAATATTCACCTTGTTCTTGAACCTATTATGTGCTGGTAGTCATGTTACACCACTATTCAAATGTATCCAATATACTGGTATATTCCTATTGTTGAAAGATATAAAAGTTGAAGAGAGAAATTAAAACATGAAGAACACAAGGGAAGACACACAAAGCCCTAAGGGCTACATCACCTTTTGTTATATTGTTTCTTAATTTTGTTTACAATAACCACCTCTATTTATAGGTGAATTGGGGAAGACTTGTCGCTATAATAAAGGAATTACACAAAAAGTCAAATACAAATATGGCAACAACTTGTTGCCCAAGTATAGCAACATTAACATTTTGTCAAGGAGTGATTTAAGGGCTTAAATCACTCTACACTTATTCTCCAACACCCCCCTCAAGTTTGTACATGGAGATTTAACTCAAGTGTCCAACTTGAAATTAAATATGAAGTTGTTGAGAGTCTGAGACAAGTAAAGATAAGTTCTCTGAGACAAGTTGATCCGAAGATCTGAGACGAGTTGATCCGAAGATCTAAGACGAGTTTATCCGAAAATCCGAGACGAGTAGAGTATAGAGTATGATATTATAAACCTGTTCTGATACCATGTTGAAAAATATAAAAGTTGAATAGAGAAATTAAAACATGAAGAACACGAGGGAAGACGCACAAAGCCCTAATGCTCCGTTCGGTAGGAAGGAAAAAAATTGAATGGAAGGGAGAGAAGAAAGGATGATTGAGACATCCCTAGGGAAGAGATTAAGCGTTTCCCTCTTTTTGTTCGGTTGGATGGAAGAGAATGGAAAAAACTGACAATTTAATTTGATCGGAAGTAAAAAAGGAAAGATAAATTTTTAAGTTGTTTTTACCATTAAACCTATCATTTACTTTATTTATGGAATTTATTAAATATTTATGAATGGTGATGTAGTAATTTAAAACTTCTATAATAGGCTCACTTGTTTCTATCCTATCTTCCGCCCATATTTGGGCGGATGAAAATTTGTGAAGGAGGAAGGATGACTCATCCTTCCTATTATCCTTTCTTTCCTTAGATCATCTCTATCGAACGAAGGAAATTTGTTCTTTCCTTCCTATTTTCCTTCCACCCCTTTTCTTTCCTTCCTACCTAACATAGCATAAGGGCTACATCACCTTTATAATATTCTCTCTTGATTTTGTTTACAATAACCACCTCTATTTATAGGTGAATTGGGAAGACTTGTCGCTATAATAAATGAATTACACAAAAAGTCAAATACAAATATGGCAACTACTTGTTGCCCAAGTATAGCAACATTAACATTCTGTCAAGGAGTGATTGAAGGGCTTAAATCACTTGTATAATTATTCTCCAACACCTATATTGATTTCAGTTCTCTAGACCTTAAATTCAGTGTAGCCTTCCAAGTCTTGTACCTTGCCTCCATTTTGTTTTTAAGACCTATCAATATAGTTTAAGCCAGGCCCAGTGCATTCAAGAATTGATATTGTGCTTGTTTCTCTTTTTCTATTTTAGTCCTGGATGTATATTTTATGAATACTGCTGGTTACTTGGTATCATAACTTGTAGTATAGTATAGTAACTGGAAATATTGTATCTCATATTAATTTTGCTTCTTTTATATTTAATTAATTGCTCAGGGTAGCGCTTAGTAGGTGCAATGTGTATTTGTAGCCTGGTCTAGGCAAAACAGTTGTTTTGTTGAATTTTATCTTGGAATTATTCTTGTGTTTATGACTGCAGTAAGTACTCCAACAATTAAAATTTGTGGTGGAAAGATAGATAAAAATTATAAATTATTTGAGAACATATGTTTGAAGTGACTGTTTCTTTATGTTTTTCCAGAAGGTAGCAGTGTGTCTTTGTGCACAATCTTTATGGCCATTATTATTATTATTATTTTAATTTTATTTTTGGAAGTTAAGGCAAATACACACACCATTATCCACAATATGTCCCTAGTGGGACTCAAACTCTCAACTTCCCCTTTTGGGGAGGATAGATCATACCATTGGGCTTGAGGTCCTTTGGTTATAGCCATTATTTTTCTCCAGCTGTTATTATGATTTTTTATATTCCAGAAGTACTTGCTTTTGATTTTATCCTTTATTTGTCATTAGATTCCCATTACGTTCTTTATCCTTTTGGAATTATTCCAATCTTTTCCATGTTAAACACATCCAATTTAATTTAATAAATCTTATAAAAGCTCGATCTTTATCTTGTGAGGCAACAGACAGACAGCTCATTATCCTTTTTTCAGGTTCCTTCCTTCCTGAAGTTTCTAATTTAAGATATTCCTGATATTTGTGTCATTCAGGTTCTGCAACTATCCAATCTAGTTGGCAGAAAGGCTCACAAATGCCCTTGGAACTTTCCTTTTCTCTCTTTAGTCCAACATCTGAGATTTTATTTGTTATGCTTATAAATATGAATTCTGGAAAGATATTGGCAGGGATGAATGGCCTTTTTAATTCCTTTCTTGCCTTTTTAGTATGATTAATCTTTCATTCCTGAGTCTTTGTTACTGCTCCAGCTGGCATTGCTTGGAGCATTAGCTCCTTTTTAATCCTAAAGAACATGAGTGTGAGAAATTCGTTCCTTCTTGATATTTTTCAAGATGTATCTGTGTCATTTTCTTCCGCAAATGAAACAGTTTGGGGGAAGGAAATAGTGCCCATGCTTTATCTCAGTTGGATCATTATATTCCCCTCAAAGTGAAGGCACTTATTTTATAGGAGTATTTTTTACTCACAAAGTGAATACCTGTGATTTTCTTCAAAAGAGATGCGGAGAACAAAGCTTTGTCCCCAAATGTGCATGTTTTGCAAAGACAGTGTGGTGAATCACTTAATTCTTTCATCAGCCTCTTACTTTCTCTTTAAGGAAAAAAAATTTAGGGCACATTTATTGGTCCTTCCAATGAACTTCCATTGTGTGCATACTTTGCTGATTTTGGAAGCTGCAGTGGCAGGACGCTGTGGAATAATGTGTTTCTATCTGCTATGTTGGGGATTCAAGAGCAGCAATAAAAGGACCTTTTGAGGATATATTTACTCCCTGTACTGCTTGTTGGGTCAGGATAAAGGCACTGGTCCTCTGTGGGGTTTTCTTCTCTTTAGTTTGATTTCTCCTTCATTGTAGGAAATAGGAATGGCATCTCATTTCGAGTTCCGTTTCACACCCACGCTCATATTTGGGTTTCTTTCTCCTGTGCATCCAACTAAAATCAAATTTAATAGAAATCTGGATCAGTTGGATATTGCTGTCACTTTGTACAGATCATGAGCGAAGTTTGTTTCTTCCTTTCTGTCTTTGTGCCTGTAGAGATGGAAAGCCCTTCAGCCATAGCTACTAGCAGTTCTTTGATCTCTTTTTGGAGTGCAAGTCGGAATCTCTCCAATTTAGTTGTAGAAAAATTGTGCTAACGTGGAAGCTTGTGCTCATTCCCATTCCTCAGATACTAGATACCTGGAAATATAGCCTATATAGGTGCTTAGTACATGAACTTATGGACTTGAATTAGGAGGCGGTCGTTAATTGATCCATAAATTGGCACATGAGAGATTTTTGGCGAAAACGAGGACTAATAAATTGGGGATTCCTTTACTCAGTTTTGGTTGTTGTATGCCGTACTAATTTTTCAGGTTTGTTTCTCCTCTTTCCTCCACAGGAGAGACCTCTTACTATTGTAACTTTTCCTCTTCATAGTAAATTTCTTAGGATTAGCATATTTCCCATTACTTTGACCTCATGGACTGAAATGAGGCAAAAGAGTTCAGAGCACTGATTCTGAGTTATAAAAGTATTTCTGCCATGAGTTAACAATATCGTGCCTGATTTTGACGAAGATAAAAGATTTGATCTCATTTTTGAGCGAGATGTTCGTTCATGATACTTTTGAGGCCATATTTTTTTGGTTGAGCTTTCCACAATCTTTATGTAGGTAGTATTTGGCAAGATCTCTTAAAAAACATTGTTCCAACTAGCTGTGGCATACGAGTCTTGTATAGCCATTCCATTCCATGTAAAACCATATATTAGTTAAACCACCTACTGGAAGGGACGGAGCCAGGATTCAAAGTATGGGGGGGCCGAAGTATTAACAGTTTTACCAATATAATATAATAATATTTTAAGCCAAAAATATTTCATTATCGATTAGATGCGTACAAAAATATATCTAACCAAACTTTGGTCAACATTAGAGGCAGAAGCAGAAGGCACATCATTTTTTTTTAAAAAAAATGAGTCAATAGTTCTTTTTGGCTTGACCATCATATAACATTGTACCTAAAGAGGGTAATTCAAATATAAACTTTTAATATCTAGGGCTTTGCATTGTAATTTAAACCATCCTAAATTCCTAATAAGCATAATTGAGTAGTAAATAACAGTGCGCCCTCATTACGCATAAAACAACTAATTTTAAAAATAAAACAATTATCACCCAAAAAATTTGTGCCCCTATGCAGTGTCTAAAAAATAAATTGTGCGGTTGTGCTGTGTCTAAACTCTTCATATCTTGACAATGTGCGCCTGTGCAGTGTGCATAAGACAACTAACTAATAATTATAAATTATTACCACCAACAAAAAATTGTGCACCGGTGTAGTAGTGTGCATAAGACAACTAAATAATTAGATGGAGTTAGTGTACCGTAACGGTGAACTTTGTGAGCTTAGAATTTGTTTTCCAAGTTTTTCTTAGTTCCGTGAGCCTTGCTTTGACATATTCAGAATGATCACCTGAATTAAAAGAGAGTGAACAAATAATTAGATGGAGTTTGTGCTTGTTTCTCATATTAGATTTTATTTTTTATTTCATTATTTCATGAGCCAAACCATTTCTATTTGTTAGTAAATTAGTAATATATGTCATGAATTTATAAACTGATTTTGCTCCAGCTCTGACTTACTACGTACTAAGAATTAACAACAGAACATGTATAGCACCCATTAAATGTTGTGTAATTCACTTTATAAGTTCATAGCTTCATCATGGTTTTGAATCCAAAACCACCTAATTTGCTAGTTTTCCACTTTTCCCTTCAATCTTTTACCACTGGTCCACCACTTACTTGAAATTCTAAATAAGAAATTCTAAAGCTAGCATTCAGTTTATAACTTAAATGCAAACATTGACACCAAAAAAAAAAAAAAAAAAAAAAACGAGGAAAAGGGAAAAAATACTGTAGAAAAAAAAAATAGAGAGATGTAATCATGTAGATGAAGGGAGAGAAAAGAAGAACTTGAGGTGCGCCGGAGGTTCGCAATCATCATTCATCGCCCAAGGGCCAAGGCTATTAGCCTATCACGACCAATGATTCAATGGTTCTGAGCCTGAGAGTCTCTGACCTTGAAGTTGAAGGTTTGAAACCCTCTTCGCTCTTCGAGTCTGAATGAGGAAAGTGAGTCTCTTTGCGGCTGCCCTAAATTTTTTGTGGGGGCCAACTATAGAGTCTAAATTAATTATATAATTTTTATATTTAGTAAAAAAAAAATAAAAATAAAAAGAAATTCTTGGGGGGGCCTGGCCCCTGCTGGCCCACCCCTCCCTCCGCCCCTGCCTACTGGGATGTCTTTCTTTACTAGCTCGGCTCACTTCAGATTAGGTCTTTTCTCTCTTCCGGCATTATCCTCAATATGTAGCCTGTTGTCTTTCTTACCAGTACAGATGTTGGTTTTTGTTGCACTTGGGCAAACCATTTTGATGTTATCCCGAATTTATGCCACTTCAACCATATTGCTAATTTGCTACAAGTATCTTTCAATTAAGTTTTATAAATTTTGTTTCTAAAACATGCTTTTGTATTTTTATTTTTATTTATTTATTTACTTTTTTGTAGCAGTCATTTTCTTCTTTTAGGTTTTAAGTAGTGTTCAAAATTTGGTAGTGGCTCTTTAGTTTTAGTTTTTTTTTTTTGAATTACCTCCTCCAAGGACATTTAGCATAACCCATCAAAGTTCACAACCTGCACATGTAAAATGAAAGAGATTAGCCGGATATTGAGTGAGTGGGTTCTGGAGATATGATAGCTGTTGGCATCAATGTAAATAATTTGATAAGCTGTTTTTGGCATTCATGATGTCTATTAATTATAAATTTTCATTGTTTCAGTGAAGAGAAATGAGAAACAACTTCAAGTGGTCAAGACAACTAATGCTGTTAGCCCTCTTTTATGGGATGACTTTGTAAGTCAAATTCAATATGCCTATGTTGATTTTGCTCTGCTTTTATCTTTACAATTGCAGAAATGATTTTTTTCGTGTAAATTGACTATTATTTTCATTGTATATTGTGCAGCCCCTTGTCAGTTTAGATATGTGGGAGGTATGTTGATGATCTGTGTGTGTGTGTGCACGCGCGCACGTGTGTGTGATTAGTGCTTATGATGCCTCTTTTGCTATTTTGCAGCATGCTTATTATTTGGATTACAAGGTAGGTGATCCTTCCTATGATTTCTCTTCTCAAAATGATACCTTTTCTGATTGATCCCTTGGATTTTTTTATTTTTGCAAAAACAAAACAGAACGACAAAGCGAAATATGCTAATACATTCATGAGCCACCTTGTGTCTTGGAATGCTGCTGCAGCACGCATGGCTCGTGCACAGGCTTTCGTGAATTTAGGTGAACCCAAAATTCCTGTTGCTTGAAATGCTTCAGTAAATTTGTCTCTCTATCTCTGCATATAGAGGCGTTCCAAATGGGGATGTTTTGAGATTTCCTCTCCAAGAGTTTACGTCGAACCTATGGAAGAGGACAAAACATTGAATTGTTCTTGCTGGACTGTATCTACCAACGGCGGTTGATCTAAATGTCTACTTGGTCGCAAAACTTATGCTACTGATCTTAGCAACAATGTGGGTATGAGCTAGAAGATCTCAGAATCCTTGTTGTACATCTTCCCTGAACTGTTGAGATAGTTTCGTTAGTTTTAGGGCAAACCCATCAATTTGTTGACTCTCTTTAAATTACTGTCACTTCCTGCTTGTCAGTGATTTTATTTTTTGTTCTGTGGCTTGGAATTTTTAATTCAATTTATTTTTCCGTTTTTGGGATGGCGTTGGGGTACTGGAAAGAGTTTATTTATCTGGCGTGAGAATTATGTATAAAAATAAGACATTGTCAAATGGATGAACAGGAAGCAAACGAAAAAAAAAAAAATTCCCAAACGATCTGTTATTTATTTATTTATTTTCTTGTGTGTGTATTGTCATATTGTCAGCTTGGTTTGGATTAAGCGGGATTTTCAGTCTAGTTTGAGTTAAAAAGAGGAAAAAGTGAAAGAGGATATTTTTTTTTAAAAATTTGTTTTAATATAAACTAGTAAATTTTGATAGAAGTTAGTCAAATGTCAGTCAGCTTATTGATTTCCAGCTGGCTGTTTTTGCACTAATTGATACATCATAAATCTTATGGAATTTGTAATTTACAATTATTGTCTTAGCTTTAGAATCATCACCATCCGGCAAAAGTTGACACCACTTGCGCATACGATTTGAACACGACACGAGTTAAACGGATTTAGATTAACTTTAACCAGGTTTGGGTTGACTTTAAACGAGTTTGGGTCATAAACGGGTGGACACGATTAGCCCGTTTAGTTAATCGTGTCGTGTTTACTTGTGTATTCTGTTTATACATGTTTAACTATATATCTCGTAAATAAATTTCTATTTAAGTTTTGAAATTACTATATAAACTTGTGTCTTATAATTTAATCTTTTATAATAAATTAGAAACTATTTAGTAATTTGGTTGATTAAAATTTATATATTTTTTAGTATTTATTATTTTATTGAGTATTATTAATAATTTAAATAATACATATATATATATATATATATATTATAAAAAAGTCATTAAACGGGTTAAACGTGTAATCCATTTAATAAATAGGTCAGGTTAGTGTTAGAATTTCTGACACGATTATTAAAGATTTTGTGTTCGACTTGTACTGTTTAATATAATACTTTTAAGTTGACACGATATGATTACGACCCACGAATACGAATTCCCCCTGCATCACACATCACATGTATTTTACAATAAACAATAATATTAGTATAAAATTTGGTTACTGGGGCTTTAACAAAGTACTCAAAACAAAATTCTAAAAAAGTCCCCTAAGGCACAATGCTTTGTACTTTGTTCTTACAATTTTTTTATTTCATAATTGTTTTTTATCTTATCTACCATCACTACACAAGATCTTTCTAAATTTCTCTCTCTAAAAAGCTCTTCATAAAAAATAACACAATGAATGCATTTACTTTACTCAAAATTTGATATACCAATTCAAATTTAGAGTATCAAATAGAACACACACACATATATATATATATGTGTTTGTATATGTGTGTACATGTTTGCATGTGTACGAATATGATGTGTTTTTAACCTTTATTGGGTTTACTTTTAAGGGAGAGCCGTAGAAGTGTGTATGCGTATATGTGTATAATATATGAATAGGCTGTGTTTTTAACCTTTATTGGGTTTACTTTTAAATTTTGATATACCAATTCAAATTGAGCGAAAGAGAGAAAAAAGAGATGTGATGAGTTTTGAAAGAATATTAGAATTAGCGGTCATTTGCTTTTAATCAATAACAACCAATGGGATAATATAGAAATTAATCACAACCGATGAGATAATAGTAATTAATCACACCATTTGAAATATGGTTTTGATTAGAAACCACCATAGCCTTCACACATGGTAGAGAGAGACTCTGAATTTTACGAGCTTAAAAAGGACAATCAATCATGTTCATGGCATTAAAAAATGCGAGAACAAAGCAATTATGGTTTGATTGCTATGGAAGTAAAGCCCAGCAACAATCGTTCCTGGAAAATAATGCACACTACCATTTTTTGTACATGGGATTGGAAGTGGTGAGTTGTGAGGAGCAATGGGAAGACATGACAGATTAAAACTACTTTATGGAAGAAAAAATCTAGAAGTGTAGGGTGTGCGTGTTGCTTGTCAGGATAAAGAAGGAGACCACCACGGTTGACACAACGAGCCATGGTTGTCGAGTATGTCAAGGCTTAGATATTAAGTCGTTCCAATCATAGCACTACACTTCTGTTTCTCTCTTCCGTTGTGTTAGCAATGGATTACTAAAGCTGAGTTCGACTTTGTTTAAGGGGTGAATCTTTTTTGCATTCGAGAACAACCGATATCATGTCAATTCAAAATTTGTATTTTTGTTGCTAGGTAAGAGCATAGCGAGTTAGTCCTGATAATAGCACAGTTAGATGGTAGGGCAAGTCTTTAGTATCTAGAAGAATCGTATTCAGTTTAGTATAAATGATCATCCAATAAGAAAACTTTTTTTTTTTAATAATAAAAAAACAAGTGTATAACAAGTTACAAAATTTTATCTCAATAGGATATGCAAATTTTTATTATTATGAAATTCATAAATAAAGTAATTAGTGGTGCATATGATACCATTATTCATCAACTGTAGCACTTCATTTTTGTATTTGAAGTTATAAAGGTATACATGGCTTCCATGTCAGCAGCCATGCCAGCCAAGTTTCAAAACCATGAAACTATTTAATGAAATTTAATTAAGCAATTTTGAAATTTTGATGCAAAATGACCAAAATGACCTCTATTCTTCAAAATGGCTTTGGGTCTCTTGTCACTTGGTTTAAATAATTTGTCCACGTGGCAATTGAAATATTGCAAAATGCTCATCTGGAGAGAGAATGAAAATTAAAAGGGAATATATATTTGTAAATATGCAAAAGAAAATTAAAGAGAAAATAGTACTACTGCACATTAATTCATAGCCTGATGTATATATAATAATACTTTTTCTCTTAACCCAGTCCACTTTACTCTCAAGAGGGAATGAAAATTAGGAGGGAATATATATTTGTAAATAAACAAAAGAAAATTAGGAGAAAATGAAGGAAAGGTTTCCAATCAAATGTAAATACTTTAATTAGAGAAATATAAATTAAAAATAAATAAAAAAGAAAGAAACTTGTGGAGTCTAATAAATCTCAAACTTACACTGACCTGTACTTTCCAATTCTAATGGGAAAAGTCAAATCCGAAATTCCAGTGTCTCATGCCTTCTCACAATTTCTCCTCAATACCAGCCGTGTTCTCCTTCCTTACGCTGGTATTAAACTAACAAATTGTATAAGACACGAGAATGAAAGAATGCCGGGAGTTGCAACAAGGAAGACAACCAAAGGGAGGTGAGGATAGGTGTTACCCACCTCCCAAAGGTGGCAATTTTTTTTCTTTCTAAGAAACAGAAATGACAGAAATGAAAGACGATAACAACAGCAGCAACAACAACAGACTCAAGGAGGGCAAGTCGTCAAAGCTACGTCACGTCGACTCCCTCAACTTGGAGGCCGGACGAGTTTCAGCCACTAAATGCTACGACACTAGCGTTCGTACTTAATTTCCTTTCTTCTCCCCCTTAATCTTTTGTTTGTGTTTGCTTAGCGCGCTTTGGTTCAGTTTTTGAAAACAATTTTAAGTTTTCTATAATTAAAAATTGTAAAAAATCTGTTTGATTGTTAGTTTTCGAAAGCTGTTGTTTTTAAAAAGGAGTTTTAAAAAAAGTCTTCTCATTTTTTTTATTTTTTTTGTTTTTTTTCGTATAGGTATTTGAAAACAGTTTTGGTTTTATGTGTTCTTGATAAATGTATTTTTTTTTTTAAATAATTTATTTTATAATTTTGTTTCTTTTGAACAGAAAGACTTCAAGTCAACGTTAGTGTTGGCATTTTTGAGCATAGGGGTAATTTATGGAGACATTGGGACATCTCCACTGTACGTTTATGCAACCATTTTTCCAAAAGGAATTCCCCACAAAGATGACCTTCTTGCGGTGTTGGCCCTCATTTTTTACACCATCCTTCTCATTCCCATGATCAAATATGTCTTCATAGTGTTGTGGGCAAATGACAATGGAGATGGTGAGTTCTCCCTAGTCCCCTAACCTCAGTTTTTTTTTTTTTTTTCTTTGTGTGTTGCACATTCCATACATCACTTGTGCTCCTGGTTGAATTAACAAATCTATTCATGGTGGGTCTACATATATTTTGTTTTCACAAGTTCAATGCAAAAAAGGTAAATTTGGAATGTTGTCAAATATACTAGGTCAACTTTTGAATTGGGACACTAAATTTGAAAAGGTGAACACTCATTATGCGATCAAATTTGGATTTTTTCCAACCAAATCTTTCTCTTGAACTCCGCAGAGATATATTATCGTCTCGTCAAAGTCTACCACTTGCAACATAATTTTCCATAGATACTTTGACCAAATGATGACGTTACATGATCTGAACTACATGGTTGAGGTTTGTGGAGTTTAGGAGAGAGATTTATAAGTGATATTCAAATTACATTATCAAAACTATTATGCAAATGCTTTGTGGGAGTTAATTGTCCCAACAAAAAAAAAATTATAATAATAAAATAAAAATTATAATGCATGGCAATACATGTGTGTTGATTCAGGAGGTACGTTTGCATTGTATTCCTTGTTGTGCCGTTATGCAAAGGTGAGCTTAATTCCAAATCATCAGCCAGAAGACAAAGAGCTATCCAACTACCATCTGGACACACCATCAGAACAATTGAAACGAGCTCAAAAGATTAAACAAAGTCTGGAGAATAGTAAAGCTGCCCAGATCACACTTTTCCTAGTCACCATTCTTGGAGTTTCTATGGTCATTGGTGATGGCATTCTAACTCCATGCATCTCAGGTCTCTTTAAACCTTTTATACATATATATATATATATATATATATATATATATATATATATATATATATATACATACACATTTTGTTTACATATACACATTAATTTTGTAAGATTGAGCTTTAATTTGTTATTATATTTAATGAATATTTTGCCTATTTTGCAGTCCTTTCTGCTGTGAGTGGGATCAAGGGGTTAAGCAAAGGTACATAAATATACTAGAAATATATATACATACATGTTTGTGTCTATGTCTGTGTGTGTGTGTATATATACACATCAGGTATACGCCTATGTGCAGCTACTAAGGGCCAGCTTGGCAACTGTTTTTTGTTTTGCGTTTTTTGATTTCATATTAAACATAAGCAATGTTTATATTGTGCTGTGATTTTTTATTCGCAAGAAACTGAGACATTCATTTGTACTCAAACCCTCACCATTCCGTTTGGGAGGTAGAGAAGAAACCACTAGGTTATAGTCTGATTATTATACTATGATATATTTTGTGATATATTTTAAAGCAGAATCATGTCCGATAACTAAATTTGTTGTATAATGTTTCAAAGCAAAAAAGAGCAAACAAATTTGTTTGAATGATTTTAAAATTTATGGTATTTACATTGCATTGTCTTTTTAAAATAAAAAAATTGTCACTATAATAGTAAAAATAAGTGAAAACATCTTTTTCTAGATTTTTTTTTTCCCCCGAAATGAATGTGGTATTGTGCAAAACATAACAAAACTTTAGTAAAAGTACTTTTGCCATTTGTTTATGTTTTCTCATCTATTTGACAACAAAAACACCAAACAAAAAGGGTCGCCAAACCGTCCTAAATATGGTCATGTTGGATAACTGATGATACAATTAATCCTTTTTGATATGTTAGTCAAATTACATTTCCATACTTCTATAATTTTGATGTTTACATTTTTGGATGTAACAGATGCAATTGTGGGGATTTCTGTTGCAATCCTAGTCGGTCTCTTTGCTTTCCAACGATTTGGCACCGATAAAGTGGGCTTGTCATTTGCTCCAATTCTCTGTGTCTGGTTCTTGTTCATCACCCTCATCGGTATCTATAACTTTTTCAAATACGACCCGAGTGTATTACGCGCCATCAATCCATGGTACATTGTGGAATACTTCAAGAGAAATGGCAAGGATGCATGGACATCCCTTGGTGGAGTAGTTATGTGTATCACAGGTGTGTTGGTGAATATTGTCTCTGCAAGTAGTTCAATGTTTAAATTTTTTTCAATTTATTCATCATATGAATCCATGAAACAGGTGCTGAAGCTATGTTTGCTGATCTCGGACACTTCAATGTCCGAGCAGTACAAGTAAGTAAATGCTATACATACATGTATCTTTTTAAATTAACGGTCACAAAATTAATTTAAATCATTAATTCATTTTTCATGGAATTGCAGATTAGTTTTTCTGGAATTGTGTTTCCTTCATTGATAGTAGCATACTGTGGACAAGCTTCATACCTCACCAAACACCCTGACAAAGCGCCTGATACTTTCTATTCTTCTATTCCAAGTAAGTCTCGAGATATATAGACACTGTCAAATTACCAGTCTTACACAATTGTTTATGTTTCATTTGAATTGATCATCAATGGTACTATTTGTATATGAAAGGTCCGGTCTACTGGCCGATGTTTGTTGTGGCTGTTCTTGCTGCCATTATTGCCAGCCAAGCTATGATATCCGGATCATTCGCGATTATCTCCCAATCCCTTAACCTTGGTTGCTTCCCGAGAGTTAAAGTTGTCCACACTTCTGCCAAGTACGAGGGTCAGGTTTATATTCCGGAGATCAATTACCTACTTATGATTTGTTGTGTTTTAGTCACTGCTTGTTTCAAGACCACAGAAAATCTCAGCAATGCATATGGTAAGCTCTCTCATTTAAAGCGCTTCAAATTCACAGATTACTTTCGAAACATAAAGGTCTTGCATTTTGTTGTTTAGGTCTAGGATGTAAAATTATAGGGTTCGGTTCCTGAAGCTGGTCTCTGATCTATCAATTCCACGAAACTTGTGAACTAGTCAAGGCCTATTGACATTGTTTTATTACCATTGGATAAGCAATGAATAATTGACAGTTTGAATATATTAAGAACTATGAATTTGTTTTTATTATTATTTTTTTATTGGTGCAGGAATTGCTGTGGTTTTTGTAATGTTCTTGACAACCTGTCTGGTCACTCTTATCATGCTTGTTATATGGAAGATAAGCATTTGGAAAATACTTATTTTCTTTGTAGTATTTGGCGTCGTGGAGGCGTTGTATCTGTCATCTGTTCTGGCCAAATTCATTGAAGGTGGTTATCTTCCACTGGCCTTTTCTGTTTTCTTGATGGCAATTATGGGAGTATGGTATTATGTGCACAAACAAAGATACATGTTTGAGCTCAAGAACGAGGTCTCTAATGAATTCGTGAGGGACTTAGTCCAGAGACCAAACATCAACAGGGTGCCCGGAATTGGACTTCTATACTCTGAGCTTGTGCAGGGCATTCCTCCAATATTTCCTCACTTCATTTCCAATATACCCTCCATTCATTCCGTGCTCGTGTTTGTGTCGATAAAGTCCATTCCCATCAGCAAAGTGGCACAGGAGGAGAGGTTCTTATTCCGTCAAGTGGAGCCAAGAGAGTATAGGATGTTCCGCTGTGTGGTGAGATACGGATACAATGACAACATTGACGAAGCCACTGAATTTGAGCACCAGTTGGTTGAGAACTTGAAAGAATTCATCAGGCATGAACACCTGAGACGTGAAATAGAACCTAATTCTTTGAGAACTTTGGATGCAGCTGAAGAAGAGATACGATTCGTGGACAAGGCGATGGAAGATGGTGTGGTTTATCTCTTGGGAGAAGCAGAAGTGCAAGCGAAAAGGAATTCAACTGTTTTCAAGAAGATTGTTGTAAACTACCTCTATGATTTCCTGAGGAAGAACTTTAACCATGGAGGGAAAGGAATGGAGATCCCAAGGAGTAGGCTTCTCAAGGTTGGAATGACATATGAGATATGAGCAAATTTGGGAGTCGGTAGATATATTTGTGTTGGAATAATAGGAAATTAAATGCTATGCCTTCGGCAGAATGGTCTGATAATCTGTGTTTAGATTCTAGAACAGAGTTTGTGAAGGTAAAAATAAACCAGGCTTGGTTTGGTCTTAACACTCACCAAGCACTTGCAGAATTTTTTATTTTTTTATTTTTTCGATTTTTGGCTTTGAGTTAATTGCATGAACTTGAGAAAAGCCAGCAACTTAGTTAGATATATGTCTATATAGAGAGAGGATGAGAACTATTTTAGAGGTGCTCCTTCATATGTATTAGAGAGATTTTGTTGTTTGCTATCAGATTTTAAATTTTGAACCAATTATTTCTGAGTGATGATTTTGATGGTTTAATCAATATAAGAACAATGTGGTAACTAATAAGATTCTCACTGCCTACCTCACAGCTCATTCAATATATATTTGGTTGTTTTTCATTAGTGCACTTTTCCATTCCATGTTGTGTTTGGCATCTAGGAATCCAGGCTTCGAAAATGAAAATTTCAAAAAAGCCGGGTGAATTGGCTCCAGGAAGGGGATAGAAATACAAGGTTCTTTCATGCTAAAGCCCAGCAGTAGAGGAGGAAGAACGCAATCATGGGAGTGGAGATACCGGAAAATGTACATCAAGTAAAGGAAATTATTGAGGATTACTTTCAGTGGCTTTATAGGTCGTCTCTCATAATATTGATTTTGATCTGTTTGTTCACCAAATTCAATTATTACTGATGAGGATTGAGGAAGAGTTAAAAGGAAGCTCTATTTGAAATGGATTCTTTAAAGGCTCTAGGACCTTATGAATTTCTCTCCAATGTTTTTCGGATAGTATTAGTAGGAAATGAAAAATATATCATTTTGGCATTTCTGAGTACAGGGTGTTAACTCAGAAGTCTCAACCACACAAATTTTAGAGGGGTGGAAGCAATGAACAGAAACTAAAGCTAAAGGAAGGTTAGGGTTCAGGGACATGGAAGTTGAAAGAAAATGTTTGTTTTACCATGTTTTCTAAGGAAAGTAATTTCAACATTGTCCATTTTTAGAAGTTATGGGTGGGTTGTAATCCTTCCGGGGCTTGGCAGAGCTTTCTTGCAGCCAAAAAGGTCCTCGAGAAAGGTTTGGTAGGGAGGATTGCAGATGGTAAACAAGTTAAGTGCTGGGAGGATAGGTGGATCACAGATAAGAATACTCCTCATTTTGTGACTCCCATACCTCATATTCCTACAATTTACAAGGTGGTTGGTTGAGTTGATTGATCAACAGCAAAGGAAATGGAAAGCGGATTTAATAAAACAGCTTTTCATGCATTCGAAAGGATTGTGCTTTCTATTTTTGCAAATTCCAACCAGTTTTTCTAGTTTTGAGGACAGGCGCGTGACTTTTTGCTAAAAATTGGATTTTTCTGTCAAAATTGCTATCAGAATGCTTTAAGAGTCAAAAGAGATGATGTTGAAGAATTTAGAAGGTGGGAAAGGGAATGTAATATGCAAAGAGCTGGGGTTTTGGAGTCTGAAGGTAAAGCCTATGTTTTAACATTTTTTGTGGTGTTTGAATGAACAAGTAGCAGTGTTACATAAGTTAGAAGAAAAAAGAAAAACAAAAAAGGAGATGGTGGACCTGAATCTCTGAGTCCTTTGTTGTGTACGTGTCCAAGAGCAGTGTTGGTATGGCTCCTATGGGAAGCATTAACAAAGTGTATGCAGTGGGCATGGCAAATGGGAAGAGTGTTGGTTTGACCAGATGAAACTTTTGGCAAAGGTTTTGACAGTGGTGAGTCAGTAAAACAATATCTGCTTGACCACATTGACAAATTTGAAGGACCAGAAAATCATTGGTAGTATGTGACGCTGTTAGGAAGGAGGGGCATCGTCTCGTGCATATTCAAAAAGGGGCTTAGGAGTATTTTCTTGTCCAGTATTAATCATGAGGTAGCCAATATAGTGGCAAAATTTTCCATTCCAAAGGCCATGTTTGATGTGATGTGGAGCTCGTGCATATTCCGGATCACATCATGTCGCTTGCTTTGAGGGATTTTCCTTTTCAGTGTTAGTGTATTGTATGATTCTGTTTTCAACAAAAAATGGTAGTCAAGGTTGAAGGTGTTTGCAAGAGCTGTGTATCTCTAAGTTTACTCTGGCCTTTAATTTTTTTTTTTTTTTTTGGGGGTCTTTACAAGGCTTTGGGAAAACAAATCAAATAGGAGCATGTGTAACCTAAGATCAACCTTTTGTTGGAGTTCTTATGTGTTAGAAATAAAGAGAGAGTATAAAACTTTGTATTGTATTGATATGTAACATAAGAATACATAGGGATTTATATAGGAGATGATATGTGTGGAGAGCAACTAATCCTAAATCCTGTATGGTAAACCTAAACCTTATATGGTAAACCTATATATGGTAACAATATATTCTAACAGTCCCTCAAAGTCAAGGTGGGTTATATGAAGCCATCTTGAGCTTGAAGACAATCTTTTCACCCTGTTGTAGTTGACGTGGCACCGATACTAACGTGGTTGATGACATGTCAATTGAAATGGCAGGTGACTTGGCACTATTGCTTGCACCTCTGTTGCGTGACAACTGACGTGGTAAGTGACGTGGCACAACTATTGGCACAGTTGTCAGATGACGTAGGGTGGATTTGTGAAGATCTTGGGGGTAGATGCAGAGCATGAATAAGTTGACATTGCCATCCCCGGTGGTGTTAAGCGTTGAATGTTATACATTTGATCCCTTTAACTTGCATGTTTTATTCTCTTAGTAGTAGTTTTATTCGTGATTTTACATTGTTTTATTGTTTTTATTTATTTTAGGACTTTTATTGTAAAATCAGTCGAGACTAGTGATTCCGAGTTTTAAAAAATAACATTCCATGGAACCAAGCAATGTTGAAGATCCGAGTCTAATTAAACTTAGAAAAGAGTCCAAGAGAAGCAATAAGTTGATGAGAATGGAAAGAAGAAGAAAATGAAGAATCCTTCTCCAACTAGGAAACTTTCTCCAAAGTTGGTAATTTGAATCCATTTTGGTAATCTGTATGTATCTCTCTCCTCGAGTGTCAAAACAGCTCAATTCCAACAAAGGTTAAAAGGAAATTTAAAGAGTTACAGTTTTGTATTTCACAAGGATTTCATAAAACAGTTGTTTACTTTGTAAAAACTGGGCTGGAAGTCTATACGAATTTTGGAGTCCTTGTTTGGCAAAATTTCCTTATATGTCTTCTATATGGAAAAGGGAACTTTGGGCCTGTTCGGCTCTTATTTAAAGAGAGTTCTCTACATCATTAGAGCATCATATAGAGGAGCTTGAAGCAGAGATCAAAGGAGAAGCATTCAGAAGAAAGAAGAGATCAATCCATGGTAGTGAAAATGTCTTCCTCAACCATGAAGAATTCCACTCTAATCATGCTTGGCTAAACGCTTTGCTAGGGTTGTGATGTAGCCCTAGCTTAGTACAATTGGTTTGATTTTATTTATTTATTGGAGAATAATTATTATCATGCATGATTGTGTAAACTATAGGATTTTTAATTGATTTTTAAATAAAAATCGGTTTTAAAATTTTAATTCAATTACAAATATTTTTATATCTTATCTTAGATATTTGAATCTTGTGATTTAACACGACTCATTCACTTCTTGTAGTTGTGAATAAGATGATTACACAATGAGTTTTTCTCTGAATATAATGTTAAAGATTTTATGGATTATGCCTAGAAAAGATAGACCATACTACACCCTAGAGTAAAGTAGTTAGGTAGATGGTTTATGCCAATCGAAGATAGTCTATGTAACGACCCGAACCCGTAGGTTTGAACCGCTAGCCGGGTTGATCCTTACCCGAACCCGAGGTTACCTAAGTAATTAACTTCAATTCCAGGGTCAATACATCATTATCAAGTCATATTTATACCTCACGAGGACTCAAGACAAGGTTACAAGGCTCTGGGCTAATTATATCAAGAAATGGAATAAGGTTCACAAATCAATAGCATTTTGGCCGACCGAAGTGGAGCTTTGGTCGTCCGAAATGGCTCATGTACTAGTCGACAGAAATAGCCATTCCAGTCGGCTGGTTGTGACCCCAATAGTAGCTGAAGGTACTGGAATGTTCAGTCCACTGAAATGCCCATTTCTGTCGACCGAAATGACCTTGCAAAGTGTGAACTACTGCAACTAAGCTATTTTGATCATGAATGAAAAATGGCCTCAATGGAGACCTTAAAACTAATCCAAAACTTGTGTCAACCCATTACAAAATTGTAAACTACATCTTATACATTTAAAACATGAAGTTTACATAACTTTTACATAATTTCAAAGTCATTTACGTGAAAGTAAACATTTATACATCAAGTGGTTCAGATTTTTCATATTACAAAACCCCAGCTGAAAGCTATACAAAATGATTGCAAAATTTTACAAAAATTATATGGTATGTGTTTTCATACAAAATATAACTAATTACTATCTTCAATCCGGTCTAAGCCTGTGGTGAATTATCATTTGCCACCTCCTTCCTGTGTCCTGAAATTGTTAAGAATAAAGTGTAATACCCCTAATTTTAAAAGGATAGTCTCGGTATTTATTTATTTATTTTTATTGTATTTTTTTAATTGTTTAATTGATTATTTGACTAATTGTTTATGTGTTTAATTGAATTAAGTGTTACTTGATTAATTGGCTACTTATCTATGTGTTATTTGTATTTTGTTTAGGTGTTATTTATATTATTTGTTTAATTAGATTGTGTGCTTAAATGATGTATTTGATTAATTGTAATTAATTGTAAATTAAATGATTAAATGTTTTATTTTATTTTATTTTATGGTTATGGTTAGTGGTAATGGACTAACTAATTGGGTCCCGTGGACTACTTAGATAGGAGGTTGGATGGGTATGGATAATTACCCATGAATAGTTGTATATGTATATATATATAGATATATATAAAAAGGAAAGTAATTTATTAATATTATAGTAACTTTAGTATTAATAAATAATCTAATGTATATATTTTATATATTTATATAATAAGGATAAACATATATTTTATACGTAACATGTTTTAAGTTACCTTTTTAATATTATGGTAACTTTAGTATAAATAATAATCTGATGTATATATTTTATTTATTTAATGAGGATACAGATAGATTATATACGTAACATGTTTTAAGTTACCTTTTAATATTATGGTAACTTTAGTATTAATAAATAATCTAATGCATATATTTTATTTAATTAATATGGATATACATATATTATATACGTAACATATTTTAAGTTACCTTTTTAATATTTTCATTTTTAATTTTT